TAAGTGTAAAACATTTGAGAAGGTGATTCCTCATCGAAAAAAAAAAAATAGGATCTTCCATATAAAGAAATTTCATTGGAGCATCCCTTGTTAAGATACAGCCCCTCAAAGGGGGTACATAAAATTTGTATAACAATTTTTTTCACGAGCACTAGAAAAGTTACAATATTTTTTTTACTTGAATTGAAATCATTTTTCCTTTTTTTTACTTCAACATAGATCTCTTTGAGGAATAGATTGAAACCGTTTCTATCATAATTCGTTTATAACATTGAGAATATCAATATAAATATAGTCATTACTAACCTTTTTAAATAAATCAAATGTCAGAATAAACGTCAAAAATTATTAGTACCTAACAGTTCAAACTCTTCCATCAGACTTCAATCATAAAGTAGCTGCAGATTATAGGAACACAAATTTATTGTCTATGGGAGACGTAGAAAAGGGTAGGAAGATATTTCAGCGATCTTGTTCCTCGTGTCATACAGTAGAGAAAGGGGGCAAACACAAAACTGGTCCAAATTTGAACGGTCTTTTCAATAGGAAAACAGGGCAAGCTAGTGGCTACTCGTATAGTGACGCCAACAAAAATAAAGGTATCATCTGGACGGAACAAACTATGGATGAGTATCTCGAGGACCCAAAGAAATATATACCAGGGACAAAGATGGTTTTCCAGGGATTGAAAAAGAAAAGCGAGAGGCAAGATTTGATAGCATATTTGAAAGAGGCTTGTAATTGAAAGTATTTCCATTGAATAAACAAAACTCAATTTGACTAAAATGCTCATTTCATTCCTTGTTAACAAGTAAGTGATTGGAAAACCCTATCAAGAGGTGAACAAGAATCCACGGAAAAGAGTGGGTTATCTTCAAGGCATTATGAGCCAAAGGACTATGCTGTTAAAATGAATGTTTTATCAAATAGTGATATTATTTCATTCAACAGTTTCATACCCAATTTTTATATCAAATGGCAACAGAGTTTACGAGAGTGGAATGATAGTGATACTATTGATTGACAGTTTAAATTCTTGAGGAATCAAAAAGCAGATTTACATATAGACTGATCCAAACTAAGTTCACACCATTTTCGTAACAGCAACAATTTTATGCTCGTTAAGATGCAGGAAAGTAAAAAATGATTGATAAACACATTCAGAGTCGAATGCCTTCTTTGATGAAAAACCATGTAGATAATATTTTGAAACAGCGAATTGACGCAGTGGTTAAGTTTTCGGTTCTCGACCCTAGGTTCTGCTTTCGACTGCTTTTAGCTTCATCATCTCTAGCTTGATAGATGAGTTATATAGCCTATCCAGAAATTAAGGCATATTACATTGTAGTCGAAGCTATCGATGTAGCAAAAAAGTTATGGTAAAATTTTACTTTATGGGATACTCACGGATTTTCGAGATTTTTTATGTGATGATACTACGTGATGGTAGGAATTCAGAACACTTTTTATTTTTTGTCAGACTCAATTAGTTTTCGAGATACAGCCTGTCAAAGTTTGTATGATGTCATATTTTACCTTTTTTTATTAAGCAATAAACGATTGCAATTCACATATTTTTTATTCAACACATCTTTCTCCATATCATCAAACTTTTTTCTATCCCTTTTCATTCCCTTATTGACAAGTTTCTTGAAATTAGATTGAAATTCCATAATTTGTCACATGCTAAGTTAACCTAACCTAACTCAGCCTAACCTTACTTCAGAATTTTAAAAAACTATGTATCCTCAACATTTAACCTGACCTCCAAATTCTAAAAGGAACGTATTTTCGAATATTTACTTTTGTGAAAACTATATTTCCTCAACATCTAACTTGACCTCCGAATTCTAAAAGGAACGTATTTTCGACTTTATGTTACAGAAAAATCTACTCATATTATGAAGACATTCATAGGCTTATATGATTTGATCACAGTTGAAGGAATCTTGTTTGAACAAAGGAATATTTTTTAGGAGAAATTAGTTTTTGGGGGAAATGGATTTTGGCTCTCACTTCTCCATCTTTATACAAAAAAATTGTGAGAAACTTTCAACGGAAGGACTAAAGCAATCAAGTTCAGAATAAACTCTTCACAATGATGTGTACATCATGCATAAAAGTTACTTTCAGATAAAAACTGGAAAGGAAGGCTCTGTCGAAACAACTACTTTCATATGAACATTGCAGTGAAGTGAAGTAAGAGCCAAATACCTACGGTTTTTCCCTATGAATTTCTTGTATTGATTATTATATACTTTTTCACCAGAAGTCGCTGTTATTTGAAATTATTTGCATGTTTCTTTNGGGTCTGTAGTTTATTACATCTGTTCTACTACCGGTTTTGTGTAGGGGCTTTATTACTGCATGTTTCAGAGCGTCCGGAAAGATTCCGGCTGTCATGGCTTTTCTGATGATAAATCTTATTACTGTTACCAAAAAAATCGATTTAATCCATCAATATTTCCGATTTAATATTATCGATTTCCGATGATTTGTTGGTCTTGAGACTGAAAATAGTTTCTCGAACTTCTTTTTCCTCAACCTCTTGCATAAAGAATTAATTAAATTAGAGACTTCTCATTTTTGACTATGGCTTTGGCTAGTTTCTTTCCTGTATTCCTGTAGTATGTGTCTTTAATGAAATGAATAAAAACTCTTTCGTCTAATTACCACTAGTTGATTTCATTCATTTCATTAAAGTGATCATGAATTACCACAAAATAAACAAGTCATCAATCACACATATGTGCTGAAGTGCTCTGCAATTTCATGCTGGTCTGTGATATCTTTACCGTTATCCGATTTAATGAGATTTATCTTTGTTTGTGAGGAACGATTTATCTACGTCTTTTAGAGCTTGCCAAAGTTTGCTTGGGTTGGTTTTCAATATATTCATTTTGTCCCTGAAATAGTTTCATATTGATTTTTTCATTTAATCATCCAATTTGTTTCCATATTTTTATACCTAATTTCTAATCATTTATTTAAGTTTGCTTGCCGACTTTTTATGTCGACGCGACGTTGGTGGTTTGACCAGTCTCTGAAATCGACAACTTTGGGAAGCTCTCCTAGAATCCCATCGAAACAAAAAAATTAGTCCCCATGTTTCTAGAAATGGTTTAATATTATATTTAATATGTTCAAGAAAAATATTTCAAATAGTCAATTTTTAAATATCATCAACTGTTTAGTGTGAATGGAATAATCTCCTTTTATTTTTTTCTCGAAATTTATTGAAATTCTGAGTTCGAAGTCGGAATTTAACGAAACTATATAAGACTCAAATCTCGAAATACCTACTGTTCTTCCGACTTCGATCTCGGAATTTTGTTTGGAAGCGCAGAATTTCATTAGGTTCAGCTTCAAAACTTAGAATTTTGTTAACTTCCAACTTTGAACCCAGAATTTCATTGAATTTCAGAATTAAATAATTGAACGAATAAGTAGGTTGACTAGACAATTTCAAATACATGGCTACAATACAAGACAAGAAAACTTCATTTGATTACGAAAATACCGGCTTCCTGTTTCTCAAAAGAATTATTTGGACTATAATCTTTATGATATGTTAGCAACAGAAACAAAGACTCTTAATTCACTTTCATTCATGAAAAATAAAAAAAAATCTGCAACATTGTTTTTACTCGGTTTCTTAGTTCACTCAACATCTCAGGTGTTTTCCTATGCAATTTTGAACATGCTCGCGATGCTTGTAGTAAAATTCTCCTGTTAAGTGTGTGCAAAACCATAAGTGTTCAATTTGTACATTCTAATATATTTCTACATATATACATTACATCTATATTCTGTAAAATGATGACTATGTATATGTGTGTGTATGTAATATAAGTTTTAAAAATAGACACATCTTCAGCTGTACGATTGTCTTAAGTGTTTGTGTTTTGTTTGAAGGTGGTTGACAATGTTTCGTGGTGTTTCAGTTCGGACTTCCATAGTCTAATATAATATAAATTGATTTGAAATTCCTGAAAAATATTAAAAAGATTAACCGAAAACAAGAATTCTATTTGAACAAAAAAACTGAAATTACAAAAAAATTACATAAAACCAAACAACAACCAAAAAATAAAAATTGAAATAATAATAAAGGCTGAAATTAAAAAAATATTATTAACAAAAAACGAAAAATAAAAATCAAAAGATTTCAAACCAAGTTATGTCACGACGTTTCGGTTGTTAGAATCAACAATCGTCTTCGGGTGATAACTGGACTTATTCCTCCGAGATCCGACTATTTATAGGTCATTCGAGTGCTTTCACCTATCCCCTCTTCTCTCTCTCTATCTGCTTCATTGGTTTTTAGCGGGAGATGAACGTTTGGCGGGAGTTGGTCGTTTTTCGTTTTATTAGAGGTTTTCATATGTTACGTATGTCTACACTTGCTTGACTAAATGCGTTGTTGGACAACATATACGCGGCTTCTTTGAATTTTCTCCTAAACCAGTGTTCCTCTTTGTGGATGATTTCAGCTTGAGCCCACTCGATATTATGTTGATGAGCCCAAACATGCTCTGATATTCCGGATTTGCTGGTTTTCTCACCGCTGTGTGTGTTTCTTATGCTTAGCAATACGAACTTTCAATGGCCTCTTAGTTTCACCGATGTATGATTCTCCGCACTCGCAGGGTATCCGGTAAATGTAATTCTTGGAATCGCAGTCCGCGTATGGTGGCCTGCTTTTGGTGAGGCTGCTACGGATAGTGTTCCCAGATGGAAGCAGGTCCTGATGTTATACTTTTTTTGGTTGTTGTTTGGTTTTTTGTAATTTCAGTTTTTTTGTTCAAATAAAATTGTTGTTTTCGGTTAATCTTTTTATAATTTTTCAGGAATTTGAAATCAATTTATAATTATATTAGACAATGGAAGTCCAAACTGATGATATGTTTGTGTTTTGTTTTGACCCATGTATCAGATTTTTATTCATGTATTTTACTTTGAGAAATTCTGAGATTTTTACTATGTGGTACCTTATTTTATGATTTATGCTATACACAGTAGTGTGTGTTGCATCAAGTTACTATATTACATAATTTTTTTTTCATTTTCCAGATAGCCCGTTATATCAATTATTCATATCAATAGACGGTTATCGATATATACTAGCTAATCTAATATTTTGGTAAAAAAATTAACTTATATCAATAATATCGAAATGAGATATTTTTACTACGGAGTATTTGAATTAAATGTAAGTTTTTATAATATACAGTAATTCCTTCGTTTTGATTAAATTGATCATGTATGAGACATCATATTCATCTCGAAAATATGAGGAAGGATCTCCAATCCACAACATTATTCTTGAAATAATGATATCAAAACTGTGGAAGATTTCTCAACTAATTTTGCAGGAATTGGTTTTTACATGAATATGACGATATAGACTTGGTAAATAATGTGAAAATTTATTTAGTACCTCATCCTAACATGTTACAACTTTCACATCATTCGGCTATTAATCATTCTTTTATAACAAAATTATTTGTGAGAGAATATTTCTACAGAACGGGCACGTGCTTTGTTAACTTGTTGATTTTGTCACTTATTACAACATTAGCCAGTTATACGGGATTCTAGTCTAGATTTAAATTGGAAAAAAAAAAGAAATTACTATCCGGTATTACCGGATAGTAATTCACGGATGGTAGAATATGATGTGTTGTTCTTCCGGGTGTTCATCCGTTCTGTACTATTCGATAGTCGACGTTTCGCCATCATCTCAGATGGCATTATCAAGACGAGTTACTGCTTCGCTTCGAGAG